CATGGCTGAGAAAATCTTTTCCTTTCCCGTTGAGTTGGAGAAGGTGGCAAAATACTGTATTAAATGCAAACAGTTTGGTCACCACTGTCAAAAGTAAGGCCAGAAAAGGGATGTGCATCCTACTGGAAAATTCCCGCTTGAAAATTCTCAGCCGTTGGGGCGAATAACTCAAAGGGTTAACATCCTATAGAAAGGGACACGAGAGGCTGGACAACAGTCATATCTGAAAAAAAAGAATCCAAAGAGTAGGGTTCAACTGATGCCCATACATGAATGTTCCCTAGTAGTCTTGGGGAATCCTCTCAGAATGTTAAGACCAAAAATTTATTCTATCAGTTACAGGACAGAGAGGAGCCAACACCTAATATCCCCCAACAATTTGACAGCTCTTACTCACTGGTCCCTAAGTCTGTTCTGAACAAAGAATAAGCAGGGCCTTCCGAGAACAAAAGTGACCTTTGTGGTAATTTTTTAGCCAATAGTTTTCTGGCCATTATTCTTTGGGAACCTAGTGCGTCTTCATATAAATGATCTAGTGATTCACTCAGAAGGTGACAGTCTAGGTAATTAAAGAATTACCCTCGAACCATCTACATCTTTCATCCTAGGAGTAGTTAAGGTGGCAATAAACTCTCCCAAAGCCCATCATAACAATAAGTGCAACACACAAATCATAATGTATAATGTAAATTGCTCATAATGCCATCAAGAAATCAAAGGGCCAAAATGACACAAACTCAATCTTGCAATTCATGAAATCTTCATCCATGAAGGCCACCTGCTTTTCTACATATTTGTTTGTACAAAAAGTCCCTAAACCAAATAGCTACAATTCCCACGAATCACGACCACGAATTTGTAGAAAAAAACAAAAGAAATCATACTTGCAATTCAACATGTATAACTAATCCTCTGTAGGGAGGTCCAAGTATCAGTGGTCACACAAACTCTTTGACACAAATTCACAATATTTTCTTTTATTAAAAGTCTTTCATCCACCTATAGTTGATAATCATCTCGTGTAATAGTTGTGCGTGAAGGCAATTTAAGACCGGGAAGCAAAACAGATAACATTAGCTTAAATCCCTCTTTCTCAATGTTCTATTAATTTGTGGATTAGTTAATAATGACTTTTGAGTGACTATATATGTGATAAAAACGTCCGAGAATGCATTGTATTTAGAATAATTTTAATACAAATTTGAAATATAGTTTTCTTATGCGGGATTCGATCCCACATCCGTAGTTGATACCCATCTACCATTTGACTTTATTGATAATGATTTGTTTTTTAAAATAGACTCTTCCTCTTGCACATGGACGTATTAAAAATGCATTTTAATCTTTTAAAATTTGCATTTGTGTGCCTAACCCATATTTAAATGTATCACTGAACATTTTAAATATATCAACATTTTTAGAAAATTCACAATCTACGATAAATTTGTGCATCATACTTGTGCAAAGAGAATTTCACCATGAGATGCATTAACTTTATTGTGAGATTGCGCAATTATAGAATGCATTGTCTTTGAAAGATAAGAAATTAAATTCAGCAGGTAACTGTGCTCAATGCATTGTCTTTGTTTTATTCTGTTAATATGCAGTAAAACTATGCATTTTGATTTTTTACTATATATATGCGTATATTATACACTTTGTCAATTTATTTGCATTTTACTTAGGTATGAGAATGTGTTGCGTTCTAGTATAAATGCATTGTTGCGATGTTGATAATGCACAATATTAGAAATATGCAATGAGTAAACATAACGAATCAATAAACCATAGTTGTGAATGGCGAATGGCGAGTGGCGGGCGAGAGGTTCTTTTTTATGGCGAGAAGCGTGGCGAGCGGCGGGCGGTCAAATGGCGAACATTATATAAATAAATAAAAAATAAATAAAAATAAATGAATATATATATATATATATATATATATATATAC